TTAACAATTTTAATAAATTAAATAATAATCATAATTATGGTCATAGCCCATGGTTATAGCCTAGTACCCCCAAACCACGACCCCCTAAAACAAAAAAGACGGTTCCCATATTTGGACTTCAGTTTCTTAAATGATTAAAAAGGAAAAAAAAATAAAGATTTCCAGTAACAGAGTGTCGGAATTGAAAACGTTGCTGTTTCTTAATAATTTATTAATTTGAGTGAAAAAATAAATAAATAAATAATATTTTAAATTTGAATTTTGTAAATGTAAAATAGATATTGAAATTTTTTTAAATAAATTTAATATAATTTAATTTTAAATTAATTAAAATTTAATATAATTAACGGATATTAAACAGTTAATAAAAAAGAAAACGTCGCTGTTTGCACTGTAACTTGGCGCCAAATAAACCGGGTCGAGGTACGCTAACAATAATGGTGGGGTGCACTTGACGCGAACTTCCTCCAAGTGTCGCATTGACCGCAGCCCCCCTCCAGTCCTCCCGAGCAAAACGTTGAACGGCTTTGTGTCCATGTAATAAATTTGATTTAGTAAAATTAATCCCCCCTTAGGGATTTTAAGGGTGTAATCATATGAAAGTATGTTGTATTTACAAAAATTAATTTTTTAGGTGTTTTTTTTTTTTGATCATTTTGTCAAGGGTCGGATAGAACCATAACCCAAAGGATGGGGGAGATGAACCTATAATAATGGCTAACGCCATTTGGTCACTAGGCCAGGTTCAATTTTTTAGGTGTTTTGATTACGAAATAATATTCACTTATTAATAAATCTAATCTCTTATGGTTAAATCAATTTATTACTCTCCACGAAGTACTAATTTTACTAAATTTTTGTTGGTAATGTTTAATAAGTTTTGGCTAATAGCAATTCCCATATCTTTGTTTGTTGGTATTTTCTATCTAGATTTCCTAAAGAGATTTTAATGATGCACTTTTCATATTAATTTAATATACTTAAAAAAATTATTTTTTTAAATGTTCATCTCAAGATTTAAACTCTAAAGTTGATATATAAAAGGATACTTTACGTATATAAATAGTTTAAAATATTTTTTAATATTTACATCAATTTAATTATTAAAATATAATATAAATAAAATTAATTTGATTAAATCTTGTATTCAATATGTATGATGATATATTTAAATTTATTTATTTTTAATTTTAAATAAAATAATAATAATTTTTAATAAATATATTATATAATATATTAAATTAAAATATATACCAATTATACTCATTTTCTTATAATATATAGTTTCACTTTGGACTTTGGAAAGACAAAACTTTGGAAAAAAACAATCCTACGGACAAAGGATTTTAATATTGTGGTCCTGAAAACACATTTCTCTTTCAGTACTCTCGTCTCAAAATATATAACATTTATCTTTTTTATAAGCATTTTTAGGTCATATTTTATTATAGTACATATATGATATTAAAAATATTTTTATTAAATAAAATCACTTAATAAAAATTATGTATAAAAAATTTTAATTATTATTTATCTATTATATAACAAATTTTATTTAAAATTACATATAGAAAATTACATAACTTATATTTTGAAACCAAAATA